TAATAGCAACTATATTAGAATTGTGCATTGAAAAGACCGTTGCGTTGAAAAGACAATCAGCCGCCATTGGACACTATCATTGGACCCTTACATTGCAATACAAAAATAGGATGTGAATTGTAATTTATGATGATTAACTGGTCTGAAATAAATAGTCTCACCAGGTTAGCATGACTCCAGACAGAAAGGTGGAAATGTAGTGGTGGAAAACCCACCAACCTTTAATCCTATTAAAAAAAAACAACAACAACTAAAAACTCATCTATATATTAATATAAGCTCAAAAACAAATACATTTAAGTGCATTTATATACATCAAAAAAAGTAATTAATTACTAACTAAAAATTACTTTAAATCAGTGGTCACCAAACTTGTTCCTGGAGGGCCGGTGTCCTGCAGAATTTAGCTCCAACCCTAATCAAACACACCTGAACCAGCTGATCAAGGTCTTACTTGGTAGACTTGAAACATCCAGGCAGGTGTGTTGAGGCAAGTTGGAGCTAAACCCTGAAGGGACACTGGCCCTCCAGGACCGAGATTGGTGACCCCTGCGTTTAAATACTTGAAACAATATCACAAAATCACTAGAAATCTAAATGCATAGACAGATAATAATCCATATTAAAAATGTATATTTTTATATAGAGTCAGACAGGGTCTTTTAGCTTTATTAAAAAATAAAAAGTATATTTTATGTATCAAAGTAATCATACCACATTTCATTCAGACCATTATTGTTATTAATTTCTGCTTATTAAGCATGTTTAATCATCTTAAAAAAAGAAACCTTTAGCTATTCTGCAAATTATATTTCTATAACAAAAATGATTATAGTCTGCTTTTCTGAACTGATTTATACAGAACTGTTGAATATGTACAGTGTTTAAGGCAAGTACATCAAAAGTAACTAAAAAGTGAAAAGTAATCGCTTACTTGTAACTAATTGCACCTAATGACCGACAGCTTTTAAATCCATTATTATATTAAATCCATTATTATTTTCAGAACTGAAAGTCTCTGATATATTCTAACCTGGATCCATTGCTGATGAGGATGCTTTCACGGATGGTCAGTGTGCAGTAATACCAAACCAGCAGGAAGTTGAGAAGAGCGTCCAAGAATCTGCAGACACACAAGAAGGTGTGAAGTGTGATGTGAGGGTAGACTTTCAGACAAAGCCGTGTAAACTCAGTCAGTTTTACCTGTAGTTGACGAAGAAGCAGCAGATGAAGGTGAGCAGGAAGTGAGTCACCGTCACATACAGTTTAAACCGCTCATACTCATCTTTGTATTCAGCTCTGCAATGCAAATATGCTGTATATGAAACTATGCACAAAAAAGATGTTTGTATTTTTCTGCCAGCATAATTCTATACTGATTACATTTATTGAGATTTGAATCCATATACACTAAAAATTATTTATAATTATAATATTTTCTGTTTTCACAATGGTTCAAATGTTATAGCGTTTTATATATATATATATATATATATATATATATATATATATATATATATATATATATATATATATATATATATTTATATTGATTACTTTATTACGTGTTAATCAGTGGTGTAAAGTAACTTATTACAAATACTCAAATTACTGTAATTGAGTAGTTTTTCTCAGGAATAAGTAGTTTTTAAAAAATGTGCACTTTTACTTCCCCTTGAGTACAGTACATTATTAGTGCAGTATCAGTACTTTTACTCCACTACTTTCCTTCAACCTGCAGTCTCTACTTTATTTTTTCTTGTCTATGGGGATTAGAAAGATCAGTCCTGTGATTCTTGTCTAATCAAATTGCATATAGAAGATAAATCACATCATAATGATTTACCTTAAGAAATGGGCAATTTATAATTGCAGCAAACTGTTTGGAAGAATTAAAAATGTCCAAGATGATGTCTAAATTATTTGCACGCAGTGATGTTACAGCTTCACATTGTGTGGACATTACCAATATGACGTCTATCAGATGTAGGATTTTGGTGGTCATACACAAGGAATAAATGTCAGTATTTGACATCAATATGATGTTGGTTTAAGATCTTGGCTCAACGTTGGATTTTGGTCACTTTCACAACCTAAAATCAATCAAATATCAACATCATTTGACATTGTTATTGGACATCAAAATAAAATAGTCCTTAGACGCTGACTAGACATTGAATTTTGGTCACCTGACATCACAACCTAAATCTAACCTAATATTAACGTCTTATAGCGTTGTGTGCCTGCTGGGCAATAACTAAACGCACTACAGAATGTTACGTTTACACACATTCACTAATTAGATGCAAATGCATCAGCTTTTTACAGTGTAATACTCACTACTCTTGAGCACTTTTGAAAGGGCTACTTTTTACTCCTACTTTGAGTAATATTTACAACAGATACTTTTACTCTACTTGCACTACATTGTTTGGCAAGTAACGATACCTAGCATAAGTATGATTTTTCAGTACTCTTTCCATCACTGGTGTTAATCAATTTAACTTTTTTTTGTGTGTTTTTAGTTTAGTTTAGTTCAATTAAAATGAGAAAAATATTTCCTTGGCAGGAACCTGGAATATTATAAATATTGAAATTTTGTATAGATAAAATGGAATTTAATTAACTAAATATTAAAGATATTAAAAACTGGTTGTGAGTGAAACATTTATCATTTTCTTTTAAGTTAACTTATATTAAAATATCTGAAACTAACTAAAATGATTATAAACTAATAAAAAATTTAATTAATGAAAAAATGTTTTACCAAATATATATATATATATATATATATATATATATATATATATATATATATATATATATAATACCAAATTATATATATATAATAAAAACTTATTTAATTTTGTTATTTGTATAAACATACAAAGTACTGAAGTTTTAAGTATATAATTTTTTTGTGCTTACTTGGCATCTTTGCTAGGAAGGTTAACATTCACGCTCCCAAGGACAAGGCTGAGATAAATCCTTGAAAAAAAAAGCAGAAGTAACAACTTCTAATATTTACTGAACTTGATGTAAATAAGCTGCTGAAATATTCTCATTTGAATAATCATGTACCCATTCTTCTTTGGAAGAAATGCTTCCATTTGAAAGATCTGGCTTGGCATATTTCGGATGTGATCTTTGGCCTCCTTTACTGCATTGCTCTCCTCTTCTGTCAGGCCTTTATTGAGTCTACAATTCAGAGCACAACAACCATCTGTAAACGTCAAAGTTAAATACTTATTAAATGAGACAAAACAAAAACACATTTTATTTACTTAATCAAAGATTTTAAATTCTCCTTTAAATTCTTTTTCTGTCGTGCCAAAGAGGCAGCAAAGCTTTTCTGAAGTTTGGACACTTCCTCTAATTTCTGCAGGTAAAGCCGATGGGTCTCCTGTAAAGGACAATTCATTTTAAAATAAAAGTTGTGTTGCACAAACATCACATGCAGATTTAAAACAGATTTAATAAGATCTTACCTGAAGCTGCTGAAATTCTTTCTCCTGAGTCTTCCATTCTTGAAGAGCTGCTGCGAGTGCCTTCGACATGTAGTTGTTCAGTTTGTAGTGTTGTTCAGTTTAAATTATAAGATTCCTCTTAGTTAAAAGGCAGATCTGATAATAACAAACTGATGTAAGCAGAAATGTTAAATAATTTGCTGGATATTCAGAGATCTTCAGTTTAGAAGCATGTCAGTTGGTAGTCTTCGTCGTATCTCTTATTTCTTAGTGATTGCAATATGGGTTTGAACTTTGTAGTGAACTTTGACAGACCAGCTTGACTGACCTTTAACACACTTGGTTGTCTGCGCTTTATAGGAAGGGCTATGTATTTAGAACAACACTGCGAATTCAGCTATATAATAACGTGAAATTGTGTTTATTAAAGAAGTTCTAGTGAAGATCTGAAAGAATTATTTCTTTAGAATTTGCCATATTCTGTACAACATGAAAGCATTGGATTCATGCTGCCTTGTAACAATGGGTCAGGTTTCTAGTGGTGTGATGATGTGGGTAATATTTTCTTGGCACAACATTGGGTATTTTGGTACACACCAGAGCCTACCTGAGTTTTATATAATCCCTTTACTTCATTACCCATCCTGGACCATCAGGATAACACAGTGTCACAAAAGCGAATCCAAAACTAGTTTCTTGAACACGACAAGGAGTTTACTTTACAAAAATGGCCTCCACAGTCACCAAATGGCAACCCAAAAAGTGCACCTTGGAATGTGTTGTAATGGGAGCTTTTCATCAAGAATGTGCAACAGACAAATCTGCTGCAGCTACATAATATTCTGACCTCAATTTAGGGCAGAATCTCTGAGGAATGTTTCCAGCAGCAAAATGAATTTATGTTATACAAATCTGAGGCAGTTCTCAAGGCATAGAGGGGACCAACCCAGTAGTAGCACCCAATAAAGTGTCCAGTGAGTGTTCAGAGTCCAGTCATTCATGCTCTAAGGTCTCATGCATTAGTTGCATAATCCAATAATCCCTCATAAATTCCACTGGTGTAAAAGAACACTTGCGGAATACAAGAACAGCTGAAACAATGAGATCTTGACCTTTGGTCGACAGATAACATTCAGCTTACTTCATTCAGGTGTAATTTAAAGAGTTTTATTTCAACATCTTCATCTATACTGCCTTATCAGCTAGAAATTTCAATGAATACGACATAGGCTACATTGATTGTCCTAACTGCTAATTTTATAGTATTGACTTTGGTTGGAAAGTTAAGGTTACTAGGTTTTGCTATGGTTAATTTTAGGGCATTAGAGACAATGTGTTGTTTGTTATTAGGCCTTTTAATAAGTATAACAAATAGTATATATATTTGTTACCTGATAATCATTAGCGAATCTCAATCACCTTCAATAAGTGGGCATTTGTCATAAAACAAACAGTTGTTGTTTTTTTTTTATTTGTCCACGAGCGGCCCCTTGCGTTCACTCGTCATTGAATATACGCACCGCGCATGCGCATTCCTTCGACTGTATTATTATTGACCTGAGCAATATGTAAACTGCGCAGGGGGATGGCCTGTCAAGAAACATTGGACTGCAAGCCCATGGGGTGGGTTTTCAAAGAAATGCATGAAGGTGGAACTAAAGCAGGGTCTAATCTTACTGATACTATATGTTCTGTCTTGAAGATTCGCTCGGGTTTCTTCTGATCGCGGATACAGTGCGGCGGCGGCTGGCCAGCGGTGCTGGATGAAACCGGCCGGTGCGGTGACACTTACTTTTCAATGAATTTTTCATCAAACAAGTGATTTTACAGGACTTACTCGCTTGTCCGACTGAATAAAGTGAAAATGAGCGCCGTGGTTTACGTTTTATCCACGGTCACCGGATATGTGCTAACCTCGGCGTTTCTGCTGAAGTGTCCGTCTCTGCTTCACCGGCGAAAGAGAGAAGCCTTCCGGAGCAGACACATCTCTCACCGCGGCGGTGAGTGCACTGACAGCAGACCAGACCGGCCAGACAGTCGTCTGGGACTGTCTCTTCTTACTGTTCATACAGTAACTTTTATTTCGTTGTACTTTTAAGTGTTAGTAACTAAAATCTACTGAATTATGATGTACAAGTGCTGACTAGGTAGGAAGTAAAGGGTTTTGGTTTTGATATGTAGTCAATGAATGAGTGTCACAGCAGCAACAACAAAAAGACCTTTTGCCACAGATTTGTATTATATATATATATATATATATATATATATAATGTTCACGTTGGGCCAGTGTTGGTCCATAGGGTTCATTATTGACTAGTACTAGATACTGGTCTTTGAATGGACACTGGAGTGGGTGGACTGTGAACCCTGGAAATACTTTACATACTATACACAGTCATGACTCTTGGTTGTGTGTGTGTGTGTGTGTGTGTGTGTGTGTGTGTGTGTGTGTGTGTGTGTGTGTGTGTGTGTGTGTGTTATTTAAATGTATTAATTGATTTGTTTTGCTTCAGGGGCTGGTGAGAACTTGGAGAACACAATGGCAGCCTTCAAGCAGTGAGTTGCTGTTTATTGCTCGGATTTGCATTGATGAGTGTGACTGCTTAATATGCCTAATATACTTTACAAAGTGCACTAAATCCCAATGTACACTTAAGTTTTCACATGTACGTGCAAGTCCACATTATATGAATTTTGCCATCAGAACAGTATGCACAAACTGACCATGTACTGCCTGAGCTCATTTGCACTTTGAATTGTTTTGCATTATTTACTGTACTGTAGTTTGGCCATATGTCAGTACTCAACCCGGGTAGGAAAAGAAATGGTGGAGTCAGATCAAGAACAACTACACATTGTTGAAGAGGGCAAAACAATAGATGGGTGGAATATAAAATGTCTGCAACTCTGTTTTAAACTATTACAAACGTATAAGCTTTGGAGCTTTAAAAGTGCAGACACTAGATGAGGATGAACTTTGAGCACATGCCTGCTTTCAAATAGTATATATTTAGGGAGGCCATGCATTTGAATGTGCATGAATGCTAAAGTACACAAAAAAATCAAGTTTACTTTCCTAACGTAATGCTATATGTTGGCACATAGCTCAGTCTCCTTTTTAATGTTTACTTCATTTGATAAAATGCACAAAAACATCTGCTGGACACATTTGTTGAGCCACAAATATGCCTTTGTAAATAGTGTTCGTCAAAGTGGCATCATCAGCTTATAAAAATACAAGAGAGATCTGAATGAAAATCTTTGTCTATAAAAGGTAAGTGCTTTCATTACTCTGCGTTTTGTTTTTGTTTTTTCCAGTGCTGTTAAACTAGGCACGGACATGTTGGAGCTGGACTGTCATTTGACCAAGGATGAGCAGGTGGTGGTATTGCATGACTCCAGCCTGAAGAGGTCGACTGGCATTAATGCATACGTTGCTGATGTGGCTTATGCTGTAAGTTCTTCTAATTATTTACTATATTCACACCGAAAGTCTAAATATTTATAATAGTGCCTGGCTGCAGACTTGCGCGCTCAGACATGCACTTAACAGATGAAGTGACGTCACTACAAGGGTCTTAGGCAGGGTTGGGTGTAGATGTTCTTGAGAGTGCATGTCTGAGCGTGGATGTGCACTCAATCTGCACTCAGACCCTTCTTCAATATTTGAGACTTTAAAGTTGGTACCATACTATTATGCTGTGATGTTAAATTATGTTTGTCTTCTTAGGATCTTCCTCCTTACCTCTGTAAGCTTGGGGTCAGTTTCAAACGAGGTGAGTGTTCAGTCCAGATAATGTGCAAATAAAAGTTTGATTAAGGGTAATATATAATGAATTGAAAATAAAAATCTGAATAAAATGTATTTATTATATGTAAATGTGAATTCTAAAACTGATTTCTGTCATTAATCAAATGGAATTTCATTTGGAACAGTGATAATGTGCGTCTTTTCCAAATAGAGGAACATTATTATCACATATTATAAAAACCGTGTGGATTTTATGCAGTTTGAGTGATTCTGTAGTTACTGCAAACGGGGATATGCTACCTAAAGACTTGCATGTCTGACTGTGGCATTATTCTTGATGTGTTTCAGACTGCTACTGTGAAGGAGGAGAAGACAAACGCATCCCCCTGCTGAGAGACGTGTTCGAAGCTTTCCCAAGCACCCCGGTAAACATCGACATCAAGGTCAACAATGACACCCTCATCAAGAAGGTGTGTGGGATTTGCTGTTCTACTCAAATTTCATTTCCTCCAATCCTCTTTCTATGCTGCTGTTTGTCACCACTTAAATTAATCAGGTTAGAGAGTTGAATTTGTCTGAAGCAGACTTTTACCTCTTTTTTTTTTGTCAGGTGTCTGAGCTGGTCATTCAGTATAAAAGGCAGGATCTGACCGTCTGGGGAAACTCCAGCAATGAAATTGTTAAGAAATGTCACAAAGAGGTGAGAAATGTATACTTTTTTTTTTTTTTAAAGGAAAATTTGTTTTAATCTGACTAAATGAAATGTACTAAAGATCTAAGCATCTGATGTTTTCTATTGTCTTGCAGAATCCACAAATCCCAATCTTGTTCAGTTTGCCTAGGGTGCTTCTGTTACTAGGTCTATTCTACACTGGCCTTCTGCCCTTCGTCCCAATAAAAGAACAATTCCTGGAGATTCCCATGCCTTCAATTGTTTCCAAGTGAGGACCATATTCATTTTAGTCATATATGTGTCAATGATGTTTAAAAAAAAAAGGTTTTCAAGCAACAGAAATAAGTGTGTCCCTTTTGTCCTGAAAAAAAAACAACAACAATGTCCATCATACATTTTATAATATTTTACAGAAAATATACCAATACAATGTAGGGTTGGGCGATGTTGACCAATTTTGGCATTCATTCATTCATTTTCTTTTCGGCTTAATCCCTTTATTAATCTGGGGTCGCCACAGCGGAATGAACCGCAAACTTATCCAGCATATGTTTTTACACAGCGGATGCCCTTCCAGCTGGAACCCATCTCTGGGAAACACCCATACACACTTATTCACACTCATAAACAAACAATTTAGGCTACCTGATTCACCTGTACCGCATGCCTTTGGACTGTGGGGGAAACCGGAGCACCCGGAGTAAACCCACGCGAACGCAGGGAGAACATGCAAACTCCACACGGAAACGCCAACTGACCCAGCCGAGGCTCGAACCACCGACCTTCTTGCTTTGAGGCGACAGCACTACCTACTGCGCCACTGCGTCAAATTTGGCACTGTACGATGTCTAATGTGAAACATCGCGATGGACGATGACAACGTATTATTTATTTATGAATAATGAATTAATTAATTACTAATTAATTATTTGTAGCCTACCGTTTCAACATCCTGACCCGCATGGTCTTTGTTTTGCCCTAAACCAAATCATAAATAAATAAATAAATAAAGATTAGTTACACTCAAACAACCACCTGTCAATCACTTTTTCCACGGGATTCTGGTTTGAATAGGCAGTGATCTGTGTCGTTATAATGGCATCGACAAACTTGGTTGGTAAAAAATGTAAAAAGTCGTATTTGAGAATTAGCTAAAATTACTAAGTACAAGCATGAAAGCGAAAGATTGAAGCAGTGTACTGAGCTGTGACACGTTACCTGATAGATTCAAAAGACAGAAGAGTCGTTAGATTGAGACAAAATTAATTAAATACCAAGTTTAACAACTATAGTGAGACGCGATCCAGCGGTACCTCCTTGATAAACTGTCCGTCGTGCACTGCTCTCTGAGGGTTTTGTGCTCAAAGCACCCGCTGACTGCTGGAGCTCAGATGCGCACATATGCTGCAGCGCATGCCAGAGTAAAGGTGAAGATATCTGCAGGACCCGACGGGTTTAATTTCTATCATTTTAGACAGGGTCGGCCGGGCTTGGCTTGCGCAGTAAATGAATAGTCATGTGATGCATTTCGATTAGCACGAGAAAGTAATCAAATTGTTTGTTACAACATTAAAATCCCTCCCTGCAAAGGTAAAACAAATGATGACGGAGAAGTTTAAAAGAGTGAATTTTGACTGTGGTCAAGCCAGCCGCCAGTCCAAAAGGAACGGTTATTCTAGCCTCCAAGGTATATCGGCGGTCACTCATACACTGCGTATTACAGTAGAGCGCTAAACAGCAATGTATGTACAGCAAGGTGACAGGGAAGATGACGAGGTCACTCGCTACATTGAAACCGCTGTCATGGAAAATTAAATGGATGTTCTTGGCTGGTTGAAGATGAACAAACAATATACATTCCAAAGTCGAGGCTGAAATGCAGGGGTGACCGGGCTTTCGCAGTAGCTGGTCCTACTTTGTGGAATGCCCTGCCCCTCTGTATTAGGTCTATATTGTTGCTGTCAGTTTTTAAATCTAGGTTGAAAACTTACCTTTTTGATTTGGCATTTTATCAGTGAGAATTGTTTGTTTTTAGCTATAATAACTATTAGTGAGATTTGGTTGTTTTTACCTATATTAACTATTTGTGAGAATAGTTTGTTTTAGCTATAATTTTATACTTGTTCTTTGTGATTTATTGTTCACCACATTGGTCAACCTTTGGTTGTGTTTAATAGTGCTATATAAATAAAATTGACATTGACATTACCCAAAACTTGCAAAATTAGCCAGATCTGCTGGACGCACCATCCTGAGCGCAGGATTGTGCTAAAGCCATTCCTGTTTCTCCACAAAAACATGTAGCTTAATCTTGGTGAATAAAGGGAATAAATAAATATCAATTAAACCATAAAATCATTGTGTAGTCAGAGTATATAGGCTAATGTTGGCATTAGGCTATTCTTTTTATGTTCAGCTTCACCATGGCCTTAAGGCCAGATTGTGAAGAGGTGGCAAAACAAATCCCACAGATCTTAATTTCGTTATTGCCAAATAATTTAGAATTTATTTTAATTTAATTTGTTAATAAAGACTTCTTTTCATTGGTGTTGGCCAATTTAACGGCTGAGTGTTTGTACCTAGGCCAATTTAGAGTGCTGAGATGTTACAATGTTACAGACGACAAATTTTATTTCTTTGTCCCAACTTTCAAGTGGCCTATAACCTATGTTTGCTATGAATAAATTATGTTAAAACACATATAACCGACTCATTCAGGAAAAAAAGGCAAACAAGCTGTGTGCATGTGCACATTTGAATAATGTCGGGGTGTAAACAGGTTCATGCTTTATAAAGCTGTCAATCAAAATGTACTTGTCGGGCTTGGGCCCTATCAGGCCTAATTTTTATAGCCTTTGCTGTCTATAGAGAATGAGAGAGATCTCAGATTTTATCTAAAATACTTTAATTTGTGTTCCAAAGATGAACAAAAGTCTCATGGGAATGAAATGCCATGAGGGTGAATAATAAATGTATTAATATTGGGTGAATTAACCACTTAGCAAACCTTCTTTGTAAAATTAATTTGCATACACAATATTTATGATTTAATTAAAGTCCTCTTGCTTTGGTTGGATTAATTTGATACTACAGATGAACTTTGGATGCTCAGTGCTAGTGTGACAGATTCTCTCTAAAGATGTTGTTGGAGATCTTAAAAGTGATACAGATTTCATCTCTTGCAGGCTCAAAGATCCTCAGCGCCAGACACGGAGTCAGCGCTTCATAACATGGTTGGCTGACAAGTAAGTTTATGTACACGTTGGCCCTCAATGAACCTTTTACCTAAATATTGACTTAACATGGTTTATGGGTTTCTTATGGGAAAGTGGTTAACTGCTTGCTTTTAATGATTTTGCTCAATCTGACCTCAGTGATGATGGTAATTAAAACGATAAAGAAACATAAAACAAAGATAAGGAAACATTTTCCATTGGTCTTAGTACACAATGTAACTACTGAAGTGTCAAGCTTTAAATTGGAAAAATATCTAAACTCTTTTTAAAAATTTGGATTAAGATGCTAATGGTGCTATTAATCTGCTAATGCTAATAACCTGATTCAATGATTTATGCTAAGCTAAGCTAAAAGTGCTCCTGGCAGACCCAGAAATCAGCTGAATGGATTCAGAAACTTGTAAAATGAGCCTACCTCCAAAAAAAATAGTGTTTTATACAGAGAATACTTAGCCAGATGTTTTTAGAAATGTCTCACCAGGAAAAATTTTAAGTTACTTATACTTATTATAAATCCATTAGAAATTCAAAAATTCATATTTAATGTCAAATGTAAAGTTTTTTATATATTCTCTTACTGTTTTATGAAGTTGTTAATACATAATGTGTCCTATATGGATCTTGCCATGAAATAGCTATAAGTTGCTGATAAATAAACAAACAAAAAAAAGTAAAGAATCAAATCAAGAATTGAATGTAAGAAAATCCCAATTTTTGCAAATTGCAATTAATGAGTGACATCTCATCTGATACCATACCTTAAATATGGAGGAATGCTAATTTTGAATGTATTTTCAGGGTCCTCATGAGGAAATCTCTGTTCGATCATCTGACAGGCAGAGGAATACAGGTGAGTGCTAATCTTCAAGTCAGATCTAGGTCATACGCTACATGTGCTGTATGGGTTAGCATTGCTATGATGTGCGTGAGCAGATGTCATGTGCTCTGAATGGAATTTCGCTCTGGCCTGGATTGTTACCATGGGATCTTTCCACTGGTCTTTGTATTATTATTATTATTTTTTCCAACCACAGGTGTACATCTGGGTGTTGAACGACGAGGAGGACTTTCAACGTGCCTTTGACCTTGGAGCTACAGGAGTTATGACAGACTATCCCACCAAGCTAAAGGAGTTTATGGAGAAAAACAACTACACTACCACCATTAAATAGGACTTGCTGGCCAAAGTAAATGATCAATATGGTTTTCCATTGATCTTTGGCCTCTAAATGGGTCTTTTAATTACCCCAAAGTCTGTGATGTTTATGTCTGTGCGTGTAGAAGTGGCTGCTATCAGTTCTGGATTCAACGAAGCCTTCTCAAAGCCAATCATATGTCATGAATCCTTCTAAAGCAATACATGTTATCAATAAGAGACTGAAGATTAATTATCAAATATGTTGAAGTGACGTCATGATTATCATGACATTTCTGTGAGGTTTACTCTACTTCAGGCACCTTCATTGTTTTATTAAAATGTAGTTTAGTTTCATTACATTGTAAGGATGTAAATCCTGCTGGTATATTGTTGTTGTTGTTTTCATCAGTTTCCACAATAACACTGAACTCACTGAAGAAATACTGTCTAAATGGCAAGACCGAAGCTACTGACGTTTTTTTCCAAGGCACTGAGAGTAAAGACTGGTATCAAGGGTTACTTTTGGGATTGTTGAGGGACCAATATTAAGAGTGCATTAGGTATTTAAATGTTTACTGCAGTACTTTGGTGTTTGATTGACATGTAATTTGTACAGTAAGAGATTACAGGGTTATGTGATATTTTATCTGTGACCAGTCAGAAATTTTGACACACCAACTCAGTCTTCGTTATTTTTATTTTTTACTTGTGACAATGTTAACGTGATCAAAGTATCTAAAACTGCAGTCAAAACATTTTATACAAGCAAAAAACTTGTATCTGTGCTACTTAAAAATCTTTTAATATCCACTCCAACGTGGCCATACATACTAATACAATAATTTAAATTATAACAATGCATACAAAAACCAATTTCAAGTATTCACAGAGTAGACTTTAGCATAGAAGGGTTTCTGATCACGAAAAAAATAAAGTCGTTCTAGTGTGTCCAAGCTTTTGACTGGTTGTGTTTGTTTTACTTTTTTGAAAGAAGTTTGTGTGTAATTGGTTCATAAACAAGTGTTACTTTTTCCAGGATAGGTAAAGATTTAAAATGTTGGTCCTTCTACAGTTTTGCTGTATTGCAATGGTGTGGAAATGTTTTGTTTCCCTCTTTTAAGGAACGTCTGTGAAAAGCAAAACCCATTTAGAATCGACATGATAGTAACGCACATCTGAATGGAGATTATCTGAGAACTTGGCATAGCTGAGTATTTGTGGAGTTCAATGCTTTCCCCTTTTTGTGTGGTGTTCATGGGTGTAGTAACTCCTGGATTTGTGTTGTGTTCAGTTTTCTGATTCGCATTTGCTCCAAGCCACTTTCATTGGTTGTGTATATTTAGTGCACTGTTTAATTTACGATAATAATATTGTAATTAAAAAAATAGGTTATTATAAATGGTATTTGGATTTGTAAATATCTGGTCAATAAATATGTTTTATAAATGGGTTTAAAAAGAGTTTTTTGACTTTATGCCTAAATACAACCATAAAAAAAATATTATGAAGCCATAAAATATTTGGATGTTAACTTAACTATGGGTGCTTAGGGGCCTCTGGATTTTCAAACACACCTTTCATTGCTTACTAATTTTGTTAACTAAACCTTAAACTGCAAATTGTTTAAAAATATTGCTTAGAAATCTCGACATATTAAAGAGAAAGTAAAAGTTCCTTGTTCCAAACCTTTATGAGTTTCTTCTGTTGAACACGAAAGAAGATATTTTGAAGAAAGCTAAAAACCTGTAATGTAGACTAACCATGTTCCATAGACGTTTCGCTATTCAGCGCACTCAAACGACCACTCCTCCGCCATTAAAAGCCAAATAAGCATGTTTGTGTGATCATTCTCTTGGTGAATACCTATTGCACAATCCAAATTTTGATGTCTTTTGGACCAGTAGTTTTTGAGAAAAGATGGGAAAAGTACCACCTTCGCATGTGTACGGAAGATGATAGATAATAATAGTGTTCCGTACAGGGCGCATAACTCTAATTCACTGGCAAAAATGGGCATTGTTCGAAGTCTTATTAAAAACTTGTCAGAACATACTATTATCGTGTTTAACTTGAAGTTAATGATATATTTATTAAGTCTTATATGAAAATTTTAAATGAAATAGCTTCACAATAATTTCATTTTATATAATGTTTATTTTATTACAGAATGACAATTTAAAATATAAAAACATTAAATTCATGAAAATTAACGCTAACTGGACTGACCTTTTATGAATATAAACATCGTCACTGGCGAAGTGTTGCGCCATGCAGTCATTACCCACAACTGACGTTTAAATATTCCCATTTTAAAGCATTTATTAAACAAAGGATTATTTATTTAACAATTTGTGATAACATAATGTTCAATTCATAAAGACTGTAATACTGTGTGATGCATAAATTAAATGCAAATGCATATTGTCGTTGCTTTAAATGTCTCCCCTCCCAGGCAACACTCGCACCTTAAGCTTGCACACTGTCTATTTTCATGTGCATTAGGTGGACGTAGCAAATTTATTGAATTTGCTCGGAAACATATAGTAGCAAGGTCTCTGTTGTGCTTGGGGTTGAAAGAGTAAGAAATAAAGATTACACTGATATATTGCTTGCCTATGACCCATAAGTATTTATTCAGAGATTAGCGTTAAAAGTTCATCTGTACAGAACTGTACGGAATATAGTTAGGGTGCTTTCACACCTACACTTTTGTTTCGGAACGTATCTCGTTTGCCCAGTTAGCGCGGTTCGATTGGCATATGTGAACAGGGCAATCGCGCTCTGTTCCGCGCCAAAGTAATCGCTCCGAGATCGCTTGAATGAGGTGGTCTCGGCTCGATTGAAACGAACCCTGGAGCGGTTTGATTGTAGTGAGAAAGCGATCCGATCCGAGCGCGGTTGTATCACTGTGTTTTATGGATATGTAATAGGCATATACGGCTATATGAAGAGAGAATTATGATTGGGGTGGGAAGTTTCGCGAGTCTCCGGATGCCCGCAAACGAGTGATGATCTCCCGGTAATCTCGCGTCTCCCTACAGGTCCTCAAATAGGCATCGTCGCGCACCCTTCTCACCCCTCCCCTCCGCATCTCTCCTCAGACACATCGCGCGCGCGCACCCTGTCAATCACCACCAAACCACCACTTCTCCTGACAGCTTAGCGGGACGCTGCAAAATAAACCCTGACACTGACCAATGTGAGGAGAGTTTACTCGCACGTGACTTGTTTAAGCTCTTTTGGTCCGATTAGAAACTTTGCAGTGTGAAAGCGAACCGCTCCAAGAGCAAAGAGCAACAATGTAACAATTGTAATCTCTGTTTCGGAACAACTGAATCGATTCACAGGTGTGAAAGCACCCTTAGTCTATATTAACTATCGACTTTCTTTGTAGGAAAAAACAATACTATGAAAGTCAATGGTTACGGGTTTCCAGCATTATTCAGAACATTTTCGCTTGTTTTTAACAGTTGAAAGAAACAAGTGAGGTTTGAAACAAGTAAAGGGTGAGTAAATGATGGCAGAATGTTCATTTTTGGGTGAACTATCCCTTTTTAAGGGCCCATACTGGAAACCCACAAGAGGGCGCTATATAACAACTAAAACTTGCCTGTAAAACCTATAATAACTCCCTATGTGTACGAAATAACATAATTTAAATGTATAAAACACGAAAACGAAGTTCAACTACTGATTATTTATTCCTTTCCATCGTGAGTTTACAGTTATAGTACGTCTAATATTGGTTTTAAAAGCGCTAATTCTTGAATATGCTCACACATTTGTATTTGGTAGTCCTTAAAGTAATAATGAATCACAGAATAATCATACAAATAAATAATTTGTGGCGTTACTAACCAAGTAAAACCTGTATCAAGCAAACAAATGAAGCTTGAAGGTAAACACATTCTGCTGAACTCTCACAAGTTAGAGCTGCAGGTAGATTCAATCTAGAATTATGATTGGTTGTTTTTTCACGTTTTGACCAATCAGCGCAACGTTGCTATGCCTTTCCGCCTCTGTAATTGGCGGAAACGCTTGTCATTTACCCTGTAGGTGATGTACAGTGCGCTCGTGGCCAGACAAAACTTGGTTTACATTCACCACGTCCACACACACTGACCGCGAGCGAAGCGGGAGAGGGATTTTGTCGTGACAAGAATGCAGAAGCAAAGTTTGCCGTGAAAACTGATTTACTTTAACAGAGGAGCGCGTGACACCATCTCGCAGCTTCATTTTCTTCTTTTCAAAGGTAAACGCGAGGGATTTTAACCACTTGTCAAATGTGAAAGTTTGTTATCGTAATCTTCATGTGGCAGTGAGCTGTATTCGAGCATCACGTCACGATGACAGTGTTGTGTTTATTATAGCTGTGTGGAAGATGCTGGATAATGGTGTGCTGCGGGTCCGCAGTGATGCTGCTGATGCTTGTTTATCAAACACCTCCACTATCACATCCACCACCAGCAGCAGCAGCATCAGCATCACTGCAGCATCAGCACTGGCACATGTATCATCTCTGGCTGCGAGATGTAAATAAAGACATATCCGGGTAAATAGAAGCACTCTATACAGTCTGCGTCACGTCTCAGTTCTCCAAGAGATAAACACTGCAGTGTTTCCAGACACTCTGGTTTTTCATTATATCACATACAGGCTATATAATGAGTGTAAAGAGTAATATGTTAAATAATATCAGTGCATTAGAAGTAAAAACTACCAAATGTGTAGAATGCTTGATTGAATGTTATATAATGTCTAAATTATAGAACAATTAAGAGTGCTGAATGATTATTAAACACTGATTCCTTTGAGATATTAGCCTACTGCAGGTTTTGACAATAAGGATTTTAATACAACAGTTCTGTGGTAAACAACTTGCTGAAAAAAATGGATGTTTGACTGCACACTGAGGCTGCACAATATATTGTTCCAGCATCGATATCACAATGTGATCGTTCGCATAAGTCACATCCCAGGATTTGCAATGCTGAGTTTGTATCACAATTTATCATTTTCATGTGTTTTTGATGCTTGTGATTGTCTAAAAAGATTCAGGTATATGAAATTGTACCATTTGTAATCTTAACTCTGAATTAATTTTACTGAATTATTTAGCATTCAGTCACTGTACTTGAATACTGTTCGACTCGGGAAATGATATACTTTTTTTATTGTATCTTTTTCTTGATTGTAAGTATGGATTGTTATGCGTGAAAGTACAACACATGCAAATACAGAAATGCACTGCAAATAGCACAGACCACAAAAAAAACATGTCGGGGGATGCAAAAAATTTTAGAGATTGTTTATTTGATTTTTTTGAAGTTGCAAATTGTAAACATTAATTTCTTAATCTTTGACTAAAGAATCTTCTCTAAAATATCTCATTGCAATTTTTTTTACAGATATTGCAATTGTGATTGATTTGCGATTTAATTTTGTAGTCAAGCTTCAGCTCAATAATCTGTATCGTAGCTCAATCTGTATCGTAGCTTCTTACTACTGAAATGCAGTGAGTGTTAGTTAACAAAAGAAACTAAAAATATATTAAATTACTTTTTGCTCTGGGCATGGGAAATAAATAATAAACACACACACACACACAAACACACACACACACACACACATATATATATATATATATATATATATATATATATATATATATATATATATATACCATATCACTGCCTCTTGCGATTAGCTAATAGAAACATTTCAAATCATGATTGCGTTTTGATTTACATAATAATTCAAAAATTCTTACAACACATGCAAATACAGAAATGCACTGCAAATAACACTAACCACAAAGAAAACATGTCGGGGAACCCCAAAAAAGTTTCAAGATTGTTTATTAGATTTTATAGAGATGCAAATAGTAAACATTAATTCATCAATCTCTGACTAAACGAGTGCTGTGCGATTTAGGGAAAATGTGTAATTGCTATTTTTTCACAGATATTGTGATCGTGATTTGATTTGTGATTTAATTTTGTAGTCAAGCTTTAGCTCAATAATCTGTATTTTAGCTTCTTACTAGTAAAATCCAGTGACTGTTAGTTAAAACAGAAACTGAAAATATATTAACTAACTTCAACATTTATTCAATTTTGTTTTTAAATGTTCAGAAATTAAACAAAAAAATTTTTCTGAAGCACACAGTAAACACACATAAAATTGCCTTACCATTCTGTAAACAAGTTAAACTCAAACTAGGGAGATAATGTAGCTCATTACTCAAACTAAAAAATAATAATTATAAAAAAGCACTCCCGCAGAATCATTCCAATTGATCTAACATTATAAATTCTTATAAATAGAGACATTAAGTCATATGGTGAAATTGTATTCATATCACAAAATATGATAATATCAAAATCACAACTTTAGTTTTTTTTATATCATGCAGCCTTACTACTACTACACACACACACACACACACACACACACACACACTGCAAATATACTTATGTTGTAACATAAGCTATTAGAAACTAGGCATGGGTCGGTATAAGGTTGCGACGGTATGATGACTTGGATAAAGATATCACGGTATTGTGAATACTGCTCAAAAATAAAGTTCTTTCTAAACATCTGGGTAAAAAACAACAACTTTTTCCCTCATTGAACACAATATATTTTAAATTTTAAGAAATATTTTAAATATTTTGGACCAGTAGCTTTTGATGTAGAACCTACTTTTCTGCTGAAGATAGTGTTGCCCAAAAAACGAAATAAAATTTGTTCGTAAAAAAACAAACAAACAAAAACCTTACTTATGCCTTAGTAATGGTATAACTAAAAACTTTGTCAGTTTTAAAACCATGAATTATCCAAATTGCTGTATACCTTGAAACTGGTTATTGTTCCATGCCTATTAGAAACATACAAGCCTCAAATTGGAATAACTCCTATTGTTCACTGTCAACAAGACCATAATGCATTCATGCATTTAGAAACCCCATTATAAAAAACAACAGGAAAATCTCAAGAGAACCAGAGGCAAATTAATCTTCTGGGTTTATTACAAAACTGCAGAATATTCATTATTTATACTTTGCAGCTGTTGTGGACTGTTTGGCTGTAAAGGACGAGTATCATACCGGTTATGTTGTAAAACCAAATAAACTAGATACCATCAGTGAATTTTAGTTGATATATTTTGGGATGATCACATTTTCACATTATACTGCCATTTTTATACGGTATTGGGCTGAAAAATTAATTTGTAAATGTTTACGTGTCTGTTGTCATGAGTCAACATTGAAAGCATGCTTGGGCTGCCACAAGGAAACAGTGCCAGTAGTGCAGTGTGGCTAAAATCCAGCCTCACATATACAGTACTGTTCGTACATCAGTACAGCACAGCACTCGAACATAGAGTTATTGCATAAAACAATAATAAGAATTGATTGCTGTTTTATATTCAACAAGCTCTCTCTCTCTCTCTCGCTCTTATGCGATCGAATTTGGGCAGCTTGAATGCTGACAAGTAATTTCTGAAACGCTGTCAAATCCAATCCGGTCTTCAGAGATTACATTTTTTCAATAGTGTTTCCTGCAGGTCTTAAGCTATGGTATTATACACTGTGACACTCGGTGCATGATCAACTGCATTTATGAATGCAAATACAAGCCATCAGTAATGAATAATCATGTGAAGCAGAATATTTTAATTTTCATGACCCACTCAGGATATTACAGGGGGCTGTTTAATCATTGGCTATGACGTAACCCAGTATTACACCATTTGACAAAATTTCATCCTTAAAAATTATCATCTGCAGGCTTGTGGAGGGGGGAACGGCTGCAAAAATCACGTCAGAAATGCAGATTATGAATCCAGTCTCATAGTAATTACACTAAATGCATCACCAGAAAGACTGTTGAATAAGACGCTAGAGGCTGGACAGCTAGTGAAGGATGGGATGCAACACAAGGACACACATTTCCCCCTCTTTTCTGCTGCTTCTGTTATCCTCATCAGCTGTGGTTACATAAGGAAGGTCCTTGCCTTGCACAGGCCTTGAAGAGATGAAAGTTACGGCCCCTCTGTCACAACAAATGAATCAGAGCACTTAGCAGGAGACATAACTAAATGAAAGGTACTGTGCAAAAAAATTCACCATCAGTGTCCTTCCACACATACAGTACTGGAATATATATACACATGTATATTTAATGTTGACATTTTCATTTAATACCGGCGCATATTCTTAAAAAATGTTTAATTTGAGGCTTGCCTATTGAAGAATGTCTGCTAATCGGATACAATGAAGAACCAATGAAATATTCATAACTGGCTTTATTGTAGCCTTTGTTAGCTGTGAGCTCACTGTTGTGCATTTTTTCGCATGGTAAAATAAAACTCAGATTCTGTGATAAACAGTTTTGTTTTGTTTTTTGCAAGGAACTTTGAAAGTTAAACATCTTAACTAAGTTTTTTTGTCCACAATATAACTTATTAAAAGCAAAAATTGTGCAAATGTAATATTTTTTTCCTGGAACTTGTACACCTCATCTATCACACAGAGAGCATAGCTTCAAAACTTTGAAACTAGCTTTATAATTATGTTTTTTTTTTTTTTTTTGGAGCATGACAGACCTGTTCCATAAACGGGTCTAAAATCCAGTCCTTAGTAACAATGATGGCACAAAAAATTTAATTAAAATATTTACACCTACATAAGTAACCCAAACAGTATTATATGTCTTAACACTAAACAAATATATTAATTATTCAGGTAAGGTTTGAACATGGGTCAGCTGCTTCGTTACACAACATACTGACCACTGGACCACAATGGCGCTGTTAAATAGTGCGTCTGGAATAAAAAATAAGTATTGCACTGTCACTGTGTATTCTCCCCTTTTTAGATTTCTGATCAAGTTATGTCAGGTTTATTAATGTAGTGAATCATCAATTTTTTATTGAGCAGGTGTAATATTCATTAATATTCATTATTCAAATTCTTATTTTCACCAAAGTGCCGCTGTTTGGGGTCGAATTACCTGCAGGCTGCATTTTGCTCACGGGGCTGCGAGAAAATGAAAAGAGCAGGGCTCTCGCAAAATAATGAATAAAAAGAGTGAGGCTATGGTCAAATAAATTAATTAATTATTGAAAAAAGTGTGACTGAGACTGTAAGCAGCTAGGGACACTGGCCAAAAAAACGGCAGTTTTTGTTTTTCTTTTTCGAATTCTCCCGGTCCTCCCGATTAGCCAATCCGGACCTGCTTAGAGAG